AGGGGATCTCGTAGTCGAGCAGTCTCGACTAGAGCTTTCTTACTTGTTTTTGTTAACAAACATTAAATTTTTATTGCATTATCTTCCATTTCACTTAAAGTGAATTTATATGTAAGATTAGATATTCAATAATCGAATATGCCCTATTTAAAGCTAGGCTATCCTTAGGGTAAATCAATATACATAAATTTAAACAACCTTTAAATCAGTGAAAATTTGCTGAGAGTGAATGCCATAGCATTCAACAAAAGCTTGAACCCAAACCATTTGTGAATATATGTAGGTACTATCATTAATACTCCCAAAAACTGAGTGCAGGCTGCAGAATTGCAAAATTAATTTCATGCAGCGCATGCATATGAAAGTACATGGAAAACTGCAATAGAATTCTCTACAACACAATAGAATAAAAACTAGCTTTAATAATAATAACAATGCATTTACGAGCTAAACTTTTGATAGGCATTGCAAACCGCAATTTCCGTGTCATAGGAAATGCGAAGCATTCCTGCGGACGGACAGAAAATTCCAATAGAATAGCAATGAAAAGAGGTAAACTGACTCTGGTTAGCCCGCATTAGAGAAATTGCGTACCTATAATCTGCTTACTAATGAAATATCTCAAATGCTCGACTCTGGTGTATATATAGAGTGAACTATATATATGTATATATATATAGAAGTATTATTGGCATTGTTAAATTCTGCTGCGCAGTTGCATGTCATGTCATGTCGCAACAACAGCTACAAATTGAACGAAGGTTCGAGCCACTAATCAACCCACATAGACAGGAGCCCGAAACAAATGGATTTTGGAATACAAATGCACCAAGGCGCACAGAGTGCATGTCCTCGCTGAACGCTTTGCTAATGAGAAACTGCAATGCAGCCATGTAAAGGCTAATTGACTGACGGAACTATTGCGGCAATGCGTGGGTGTTGCGCGCTTTGGTCAATGAACCGCGTTTCTCTGACCAAAACTTTCAATTCAAATGTCATTTCATAGATGTCTGATAGGTATTTATGGCCCACACGCTCTTTTTTTTTAGCTCTTTGGTGAGCACTTAAGTATGTCATAGCTGTCATTTGTGTGTCAATTGGTTGAGATAACTTCACTTAATTTAATTACAAATGTTGCGAAAGCTGCGCCAGTCGAAAGGTTAATTACAATTACGTATACGCCGCATCGTACGCATTCCTATGCATTTACATACGCTCTGAAAGTGCCTGATGACAAATTCCAATTCTGACTCTTCTTCTTCTCTTTGTTCTCTTCTCATTTAGCATTTTACACAGACTCAGGTCATAGAGCAAATGGCTTACGTTCTGCTCGTCATCGGAGCCGTGATGTTCTTCTTGAGTCTCTTGGGCTATTTGGGCGCCATGCGTGAGTCTCGCTGTCTGCTGTCCACGGTAAGTGTTTGGATGTTCTTGTAAAAGATGCAGATGTATCTGCATAGATACAGATACATTGATACAGACACGTAGATACAGATACATTGATACAAATACATAGATACAGATACATAGATACAGAACAGATACAGATACAGAAAAACTATAAAAACAGATACATAAATAGAGAGAAGAACGACAGATACATTATTTTAGATAAAGATACAATATCTCGAATATATAGTTGTCAAAGATCCAACGATACTCGGAACCAGATACAGTATCTTAGTTATTAGAAACTCCCAGATACTCATGTTTAGAAACAGTATCTCCACGATTTCAGATACCAGATATAAATTGAAATTCTTATACGTTGAAACACAGATACGTTGCTTCCGCAGCTGCAGATACAATTCCAAGAGAGCAACATAGACTCGTAGATACACAGACATAGCCATAGCTACATTCAGCTCAGCTGTTGCCCAATCTGAGCTGTTGCATCACAAGATTGGCGCCGCGGGAGACATTCAGCATAACAACAACAGCAACAAGTACAACAGAAATTATTATTCATTGCACGCTTATGAAAACAAGTTGTGAATTTTCATAGCTTAACATCAGATATTTGTTATTGGCTTTTCATGGCAGTTGGCTGGAAAATCGTTTGGCACCCAGAGAAAGTTGTGGCTGTTGTGGGTACACACACACACACATGTACACACATGTTGTAGGCCTTCTTTTCGCTGATCTTAACATCTGGCATTTCCATTTCGGAACGTGTTTTCAGCCGCTGAACAAGTGTCGTGACAAGCCCTTCACTTTGGACTCTGTCTGTACTTGAACTTGTGTGCTTGGAATTGTAATTTCACCTGAGTAACAAATAAAAATGTAGATGCACAAGCACACACACACACACACACACATATACCTATATATATATATACATATATATTTAGATATATATGGAGATATCTGTATATCAGTTGAGGGCCCAACCTTAAAAGAAATTTCTATGATAAAGCGTCGTCGTGTGTCGGCAATTAATAAACAGTTTATCACTCGACTTGGCTCGGCTTGGCTTGGCTTGGTTTGGCTGCGCCATTACGAGTACTTTACACACTATTTATAAACGGGGCTAGACTTAGCGGGGCTTGGCCATAGTTAATTGGCAACGCACTGGGCGGCGCTTTGTGGGTGTCACATGCGTACGAAGCGCTTTTGCCCTTCGTTTGAAATGCTCTGCAAAAATTTAAGAAATCTGTATGCACAAAATTGAGCACAATTTGCAGTAATTGAAGCGAGGGCAAGGCCGGCGTGGCGGAGCATGGCCAAAGCGGTCTTAGCATTGGTTATTTTTAGAGAGTGTTGCGCCAATTACCAGCAAGCACTCTGGAGTCTCGCGAGTCTCTTTAAAATGCCATTTGCGAGCTACATAAAAGCAATAAATGCTCAATGATAAACTGCAGCGTAGCTGAGCTGAACAGCGATTGGGCTTGTGTTTGGAGCCATTCTACATATTTTATAACTGTATTCATTGAGACACATTAGCTGAAAGTGCTGCCAGGCGGAACATGGAACTTTATCAATCCGAAACCATCGCGACAGCAGCCGCAGCAGCAGCAGCAGCAGCAGCAGTAGCTAAAAGCAAAGAGAGCTTATAAAACATGCATAGCAGCATTTCGAATTGACCTTCAGCATTTAAGATTGGCAACGCGGCCTGCAGCGCACATCTCCATAAACACACACACACACACACACGTGTGTGTGTGTATCTAACGCATGCTGCACATTTGGCTCAGGGTCAGACTTATTTTTTTTTTTATTTTTTGTATGCAATGCGCACGACTCGCCCACATAAATACGTATACATAGAAATCTGTGTAAATTGGGTCAGCGACGCGTATGCGTAATATGCGCATTCTTTGCCATTTACCAACACTGATTGGCTTCTGTTTTTTGCTGAATCTCCACAGTACGGCACCCTCCTCATACTGCTGCTGGTCGCCGAGCTGGTGGCCGGCGGGCTGGCCATCTTCTACAAGGAGCGTGTGCGCAGCGAGAGCAAAAAGTTTCTGCAGACAACAATCACGACCTACACGCTGGGCGAGAACATGGACGCCAGTTCGCTGATGTGGAACCAGCTGATGGGCAACTTTGGCTGCTGCGGCGTCAACGACTATCGCGACTTCGATGAGTCGGAGGCGTGGAAGAATACCAAAGGCAATCGCACCATACCCGATGCCTGCTGCCGGCTGAAGGACGTTGCGCAGCTGGTGCCGCGCGACGAGGACTGCGCCACCAATCCCAGCGACAGCAACAGTTACTACATGAAGGTGAGTGAAGAGCGCTGATCACTAGATCACCTGAACTGTTTTGACAATATCTCGATCCGATTGCAGGGCTGCTATGAGGTCTTCACTGAGTGGTTGATACGGCAGAGGGAGCTGATCATTGGCGTCATTGTCACCGGCATCGCCCACCTGGTGCTGGTCATACTCGCCTTTGCGCTATGCAAAGCATTTGCCAAATACGACGATATGCGTCTGTAAATTGAGTTCACTGTTAAGACTAGCCAAAAAGAAAGTGAAGAAAGCACACACACACTCACAGAGAACAGGACATTCCAATTAAACCAAGACAGTGAATGGAAACCGCTAAAGAGAGTATCGAACAACAACAACAACAACCCTAACGAAAATTGAGTTGTGCTCAAAAACTTTAAATGCATTTCCCAGCCCTCACACAAGAATAGAAAAAAACTTTTACTCTTAAAAAAAAAAAAAAAAACAAAAAACAGAAATGAAATAATGAAAGATAGTTAATAAAAATATTTAATCACTTTGCTAGAAATGTTGCTCAGAAAATATTGAAAAAATGGAAAACGTTTTTAAGGGAAGATACAAAGAGAAAGAAATATTGCTACGCATATTTATTTGTGAATGAAACGAAATGAAAACCTGTTTTGATAGCAGTTTTAGTTCTTAAGTAGTATTCTACTATATACATACATACATAAACACTTACACACACACATGTACACACACATACATATATATATATGTAACAATTTTTAGTAATATTCCATTAAAAAAAAAAAGAACCTTTGCAACGCTGACTCTGCGCAGACGAAGCAAACGGCAAAAACCACTCAAATGCATCACAACAAATATTAAAATAGAAACAAGAGCGCAAAAGCGAAATAAAATTGAAAAATTTTGAAATACATCTTAACGAAATCGAAATTGCGATTTTCAATATTGAAATATTGTACTTTGTGTATTAGATCGTAAGTCCTTCATATATATATATATATATATATAAATATATATTTAAGTTCTAATTTTAGTTGTTTGCTATGGCTATATTCAAGTTTTTAACTACGTATTGAGCGGACGCGAAACATCAACGTGTTCGGGCTCTACTTTTTTTTGTTAAAAATGAATGTTGTACATTTTTGAATTCCATATATATAGATATTTATATATATGTATACACATTTACACGTACATCATATATAAATATACATATATATACATAACTATTATTAATGCATATTATAAACACGTGTCTGTAGTTTACTTAATGTACTTTTGAAAGCAAGCGAAATCCCCCTAACTGAAAATTGAATAAATATATAAACAATAAAAGATATGAAAAACAAAAAACACAACCAGGGAAAAAAAATTTCCAAAATACAACAAATTTAAAATGTAAATTTCTCAACGTGAATTAAAAAATAAAAATAATAAAAAATTAAAAAAAAATTAATGCATTTTAAAAACTATTAGGGAAATTTAGAACCTCGATAGCTCATCCATTTTGGCTTAGATTTTTAGACTTTTCCATTTTAACATATTTTAGAATACTTAGTTTCGATCAAATCAAGAAATCTCAGACACAATTAATGGATCAATAACCATCTATTTATTTGTTCTTCATACGTTTACATAAAATATATATATGTGTATATGTTTTCATACTTTAGCTTAAGTTTTATTGTTTGTTCAGTTTTGGAAAGAGAAGGTCAATTTGCAACGACCCTCTACGTGTTCTTCGGCCAGCCTTGTAAATGATATACGAGTTACTTGTTCATGCTCGGATTAATTATCCTTTGGCGCAACGCTCTAAATACGTATGCTACTTAGTGAATGTATAAAATCAGAGTCAAAATCTTGAGTTTTTCTTAGCTTATGGTTAAGCAGTTAAAATTCACACGCATGCTTAAAGAGTAGCTTGGAATAGACTTAAGGAACTAGGCGGAATATATTCATACATATATGTGTAGTTGTTGCAGTATAAAGATATATATATCCATATGTATTTCTATACATACGCTTGGAATACTTTGGGTAAATAGTTGAAAAGAAAGAATGTTCCATAAAACAGATATTCATTCAACGGAAATTGTGTGTATAAAAATAGTTATAAAAATATATATAATTGGTGGTTATTATGTTCAAAATATCGCATTTGTGGGGAGAAACACAAAGTAAAAATAGACATATTTCTGTTCCAAATAATTCAAGGGGAATTTTTCATTTATCGTTAAGTACTTGTATATAATAAAACACTTTTAGCGAGATCGAAAATAACAAAGCTTAGCTCAAAAAATTCGTTTAAACACATCGTGATGGATTCTGCTGGAAATACGATGACAAAGAATTCTATATATATACTAGTATAGCTGTTGCCAAATAATAGATAAAAGAATACCACTGTTTTGTTTACTAAGCTGGCGGCTCCTCGCCATAGGTCGGCTTGGCCAGGAATGCTATCGAAAAGTCAACCATATTCGGATAGACCAAAAACTTATTTACTGCCTCGCACAGCTTGCTCTCGATCACGTTCGTTACAATGGACCAATCCACCGACTTATCGCCCACTTGAGGCTTCGTCGATATCCAGAGACGTGGCGGCCCGCGAAAGCACATCCAGATGCGATCCGATGGCGGTGGCGGTATATTCAATGTGCCCCTAGCCACCAGTCCTTTCAGATCCACTCGCAGCGTTATGTTCGCACTCATATTCTCCATGGCTCGCTGGACGTAGGGCAGCTCAGAGGCATACTGAAATAGATTCGAGGTGGCTATACGGTCCACAATCTTAAAGATGCGGCGCGCATTGCCCGGCGAGTTTTGAAAGAACCTGCAAATATGGCAAGGGAAAACAGTTTCAGATTTGTACAGCATTTATGGCTCGTAGCACCTACTCGGCATTGTTTGGATTTTCGGCCGTTGGACCCGACGCCAAGCTCTCCGTTTCCGTAGAGGAGCCGCCCGTGCTCTCGGCGTCGCTGTCGAAGATCGACTGACTGCCATCGGCTTGAATATCGTCGGCTCCACCGCGAAAGTCCGCTGATGAATCCTGTGACGCGACGTCCGGATTGACCGGCGACGCTTTGGGTTTGCTGCGCACGCGCAACAAATTCAACTTGGTAGTCACTGTAATGTTGGCGAAGCCCTCGTAGGTCATATCGGCATCCAGCCAGACACCGCGCTCATCCAGCATGGGCTGCGATATGCGATGGAACAGCATGGGCGACTCACCCAAATAAATATTGGTAATAATCACCTCTTCCATAAAACTGGGCAGCTGAAAAACGCAGCAGAGATGAGCAAGTCTGGGAAAGTGGAGCACTCGCAACTCACCTTTATGGAATTTAGTTTCTTTTGCATAAAGTCCTGAATCTTCAAACGCAGCTCATTATTGTTCAGGCAGCTGAAAAGGCAGCGACCCATCAGCACGTTGGCCCAGACCACGCTGCCAGAGGGGCCCAGGAACAGAGACTGATCTATGCCCTTCCACAACTCGTTCTCCTGCCGCCTAGATCTTCGGCTCTGCAAAGGTAGCAAGAAGTTAGCAATCGACAGATAACCACAAGACCAGCAATCGACTTAAAGGTATATTGAAAATGAATCAAATCAAAATCGAGACATACTCTTTTACGGTGATCTCCGTGTCTGTGATGGTGTGGACGAATAACAGGAATTGTGCTCTGACTGCAAGCTTTCTAAGATAAAAATAATAAAGAAGAAACTCATATGGAAATCAAAATCGAAATCAAACCGAAAAGAAAATTAAATAACAAACAAAAGGTCGTCGAGCCTTGGTCAATACGATTCTCTACCTGGTAGGTGGCCATGAATTTGACATAATCCGCCGGATTTCTGGCTGCATCGGCGCTCATGATGAGGCCCTCATAGCCGTCGTTGCCGCGGTCGGGCGTGGCATCCACGTCCAATGTCTCTTCCACGGCATCGGGTGTATTGGTGCCCGTCTCATCGGAGATCATTGAAACATCATCGCTCTAAAAGAAAGAAGATTTAATTCGATTAACAGTGAAGCAGCAATCGGAAACAACGCCAGCGCTCACTTTGGGCGCCCTGGTCAGATTGATGGCCTGTTGGGCGGCGACTGCCTGCAGATCGCTCTCCTCCACAAACTGTGCCATGGGCACATGCAGATCCGATTCGTGAACACGGCCAGAGCTAGCAGCCCGGAAGCGACGGTACCAGTCCTCCTTCTCACGATCGCAGCGCGCAAACACAAGCAGACGAACCTCATCCCCACAAGGCATCGTTATGTCCTTCAAATCGTTATCGGGCGTACGTGCATTATGCAGCTGACGAAGCTGTAAAATAAAGAAGATTTAGTTGAGCAACATTGATAGAGCTACAGACTTCAGACTCACATCAGCCGTCATAACTGTATTGGCAAACTCGAGGGGCTTGATCGTTTCATTGGGTGTCGTGGCCATTGCGCTGGGAAAGGTATCCGACGTATCGTCTTCCGTTCTGGGTGTTTGCATGCCACTGCTGCCGCTCTTCACAATCAGTTGTATGGGATACTTTCGATTGAAGAAGCTGCAAAGGAAAAGCACTTGGATAAGTAAATGGAAAGATCTTGTTTAAGGCACGCACTCACCGTTTTCTGGCCAGGCCCACGGGCAACAGCTCGATGCGTGCATCGCGCATGTCGTAGGTCCGATGATCGACAAACACAATCTTGTTGCGATCGATGGGCTTCTCGTTCCACATGCGGCGCTTGGGTATGCGAGCATTGGTGCCGGAGAGCTTTAGGATAGTGCCATCCAATCGAACGTAGACTGATCTTGTCATGGAGAAGGAGAACGTATTGGGATCGTAGCTATCGCACTCATTCAGCCAGCCCGAGTACGTCTTGATGGTCTTGTGCTCCTCGGCGGCGGGTATCTCGCAGATGGGCATGCCCTCGTAGTTGGGTATCTGGAATGGACGACGCTCCGGATGTGCGCCGAGCACCAGAGTGTCAAACAGATAGGACACATAGCTGCTCAGATAGTTGATCGTCACAATGAACAGCATTGTGACTAGGACGCCACGCCAAAAGTCCTGCATTGGCAAGAACATCACCACGACGCCGATGGCCCCCAACAGCAGCAGGGGCCGAGCTGAAGGAGCGTCACGCCAGTTGCCCACGGCAAAGTTGCTCACTTTGCTCCATAGCGATTGCTCTGTGCCGTCGCCTGGTGCTCGGCCGCGCGAGGGAGCAGCACTGAACAGGGGTGTCTGCAAGGGTCTGTTGTCGATACCCAGGGGCAGTTGTAGTGTACTTCGACTCACTATGACGGGGTCTTCGTTGAAATGGACAGTTCCAGTGCCAGCCTGGGCTGCAATGTTGGATTCAGTGCTCGTTGTGGGCGCCATGTCCTCGAGCATCTCAACACCCGACTCGATTTCCGCATCCTTGCTGGCAAGCAGTATGCCACGCTTCACCTTTCCACTGGTCACAGGTATCTCGGATGCACTGCTAGCATCCTGGTTCGATCTGCCTGGCTCCGTTTGGTCTTCGGGTGGATTGCGACGGCGCAAGAAGTTGCTACGCACGGATTCGGAGCTGCTGGCCGCGCCCTTCTCCTGCTCCTTCTTACTCATAGCGGCTTGCTGCTTGGCCTTCACTCGAGACTTGATGTGCGCAATGCCGCGACGCAGACGCGATCGCTCGGTGGAAATGGCCACAGGTGCGGGTCCGACGTCTGTGCTGCCCAGGGAGCTGCTGTCCACTAGCTCGACCTCCGCGTCCGAGTCGGAGTTGTGCTGCTTCTCGGAGAGAGGTAGAGCGACCGGCTCCTCGGCAACGCTTGTCGTATTGATCGTCACGCACTCCGTATCCGAGTCGGGGTCGTTGGTCCAACCGACTGTGGTCGCTGGCTCCGCAACAATAACTGGAATGACGGAATGCTGCTGCTGCGCCTGCTGGTGCTGATGATGCTTGGACGATTTAATCTCTTCGATGGTTTGCGAGACCTTGCCCTTGATCAGCTTCCAGGTGCCAACTGGAGCGGCACCGCTGTCAATGGCACCGCCGCTGCCACCAGCAGCGGCTGTCACGCTGCTAGACAGCGACGATATCTGATTGGGACCACTGGAGGTTGGCGAAACCCCTTCAATGCTGCCCGATCTGTAAGTGTATAAATGGAAAAATTTCGATAAAAACATGTCAGATATCTGGAAAAAAAAAAACATTTGGTTGCTAAGGTATTCCATGGGTGAATAGAGTGGAAGCAATTGATCAGCTGAGGCTCTTTGTAGTAATTAAAAGCTTAACTGAATTGGCTCTATAAGATTTTTTTTGACTAAGCCAAGATTTTTTGTTTAATTGGTTATTGGTTTTTTTTTTTTTCATTTGATTTAGAAATCTGATCAGAACAGCTTCGGAATCTATAAAATCAATGGAATGATACTTATGGTATAAAATAAATTAACAAAATTAAAAAAAAAAAGTATCAGCTAGATATATTCTACCCACTTTAGACCGACCGTAAATACAGGTATTCCCTTTATCTAAAAATAATTGCTGAATACGCTTTGTTATTTATTCCAGAAAAGTTATTTTTATTTATTTGAATGAAGATATATGTTTTGTTTTCCATTTGTTCTATATAACCTGTCTGACTTTTATTTTACTTTTTGTTTTTCATATGTATATATATATTGTTTTGTTTTTTTTTTTGGCGCCCGTTTCTTTTTGGGATTGCCTTAGAAATGTTATTGGAATATATTTTTGTGTATATAATCGTATTTCGTTACAGTTTTACATATTTCCATTAATTATTTATTTTGGTTTTCTGGTTTTTTTTTTTCATTTCTTTTTTGTTTTCATAATATTGCATTGTATTACTGCTGATATATTTTGTAGTTTCGATTTCGATTTCGATTTGGTTTTGGTTTTGGTTTTCTTTTAATTGGAGCTATGTATGTATATATATGTATGTATATATTAATGGATTCTCTAGTTATATAACCTATTTGAAGATTACTTTCCTTTTTGTTTTGTTTTTTGTTTCATTGTAACATTTTAACTGTTGTAGCTGTTTTTCAATATCGATCGAAGAACGTTGGTTGGAGGCAAAATATGATTGGAAATCGAGAGTTTCAGTATTTAGAAAACTACAAATGTTTTTTTTTTTTTTTTTACTTTTTATTTCTTTTCTTTTGTCAACTTGAATTTTGTAAAAATTAAAAAATTTTACGTTTATTGAAAATTACTATAAAATATGGAATATTTTGCTAAGTTTTCATATATATACATATAGATATATATATTATTGTATATATATTCCTTTTTTTTTTTTGTTTACTATATAGTTTGCTATTTTTTATTTATACTTTTGGTTTGTATAATGCTAAAAAATTATATGCTCTTGCTTGTATTTTTTTTTTTTATTAATTTTTTCTTTTTTGAATATTTAGCTAAAAGGAATTCATTAGTAAGGGCGCTCAATTTTCAGTTAGATCGAAGGACTAAATCTTACAAAAATTAAAAAATGGAAGAGCGGACGCTTAACAAATCGCTTTACAGGCTACGTTTTTCACATCAATCAATCAATCAATCAATCATCAATTGTTATAAAATTCTTGTAATAAGTTTTAGAAAGGTACCAAATTGTTTATAACCTTGTTTTTGCTTGTTGTCGATCGAAGCGTATTCCAATTAGAATCCAATTAGACAGTTAATTGGGTCTTCTTTAAAAAATTTTCTATTTAAAAGTTTTGCATTCGATTTTGTTTTACTTTTTTTTTTTACTAGCTACCAAACGAAATTCTGTACATACAAATTGTGCTATGAAAAATACTCAAAAAATACTAAAAATTTGATTTACAAACAAAATTATAGGATCTAAAGGTATCTTTGCTAATTTCAATTGTTTTTTTGTTGCCTTTTTTAAGTTTTAATGCCAATTTGGTTTATATTTAATTGATTTATTATTATTATTATTATTTCATTTATTTATTTATTATTATTTTTTGTAAACAAAGCAGTTTTTCTTTTTATATTTAATATTATTTTTGTTTTTTATATATTTTAGCCATTTCTTGAAGCATGTTTCCAATTTGTCTTCTTCAAAAATACAATAGATATTACGTTTTATAAATTTCATCAATTGTACTACGTGTAAATTTCATATATTTTTTGTTGTTTTTTTTTTATATTTTATTTTTAAATATTTTTGTTTTGGTTTTAAATATTTTATAATAAGTTCGAGTTCCAATACTTGTGTTTGTAGAGTCTTTCTTTTTTTTTTTTTTTTTTGGTTTTTGTATATCGTAAAAGTATTTTGTTATATTTTCTTTATTTTTATATTTATAATATATTTACAATACTTTTATAGTTAATAGTTAATATATAAAAATAAAAACAATATTAATATTAATAATAGAAATAAAAACACAATATAATTGGATGTTCGTTTATTTTTTAGAATAGCAAAAAGTTCTTTGTATAAATTGCATATATCAAATATTTTCATATATAAACATACTTCAGACACATATTTATGTATGTAGAAAATATAAAAACAAGTTTAAAAAAGTGTAACGGTGTGTGTGTGTGTGTATGTGTGTGTTTATGAACGCAATTGTTTAAAGCTACTAAGCGACTACAAACTACAAAACATATAAAAATATATATATATTATCAGATACTTTAGAGCTAGACATACAAAATATAACAAAAAATAATATATATATATGTATATAAAAGAGAACACTGACATCCGTATGTATACGTACACCTCGAACAGAACAAAATAGAAAAAAAAAACAGAAACGAACGATGCTCTAAACGCAAATGTCTTTGACTCTTCCTCTTCCTCATTCTTATGCTTCTGTATCTTCATTTGTTTCGTTTTGTCCTCGTGGAATAATTATATAACTAAGAAAATGTTGCTTAAATCCATAGATAGCACGGTAAAAACATTCCAGTTAAACATTGAGCGTTTTACTTACAAATTTCTGTTTAAAGACTTTTGAATTTGTTTATAATTTGTTTTTTTTTTCAGATTTATTTTCATTTTTCAGTAGTATATATGTAAAATATTTTTGTCATAGCATATTTATGTAGATTTTTGTAACAGTTAAAGTATAAAGTATATATATATACACATATATTCATATATATATATATAAATTTATATAAAAGTATAAAAATCTATAAAATATTGAATTTTACTACATTTAAAAAAACATTCCACTCGGCCTTACCAGCACTGTTTTTTTTTTTTTGTTTTCTTCTTTTTTTACTACTTTGTCTTTATCTTCTTCTACAGCTTCAATTTTACAGACTAGCATTTCTTGACTCAGTTTTTTTCCATTAATAATATTAAAACATTTTACACTACAAAAAACAGGCTGAAAATGGTTTTTGGATTAGATTCATTGTTTTATAAATACAATTAATTTTAATTTGCTAACAATTTATTTACTTATTCATTTTTTCTGTTATTTTTAAACAAACAAACGCTTCAAGTTCGCTAATTATTCAGTTTCAAAAATATATATAGATATAGTATATAGAGTTATATATATTTATATACCATGTCATTTCTTGTTTTTGTTTTTTTAAATATAAAAATTCTAGAAAATTGCTATTAATTTCCATTACTGTTGCCGTCTCATCTTGTTGAAAGTATTTTTATATTATTTAGATTTATTTTCATTCTTGATGTAAACAAAGCGCGAGCAAAAATTTGCTAATAGATTTGACTATCGTTTAATAATATACATAACCATTTAAAAGTCCACAAAGCTTGTTTAATAATTTTTAGTACTTTTTTTTTTCGTAGTATAGAAAAAATATCGTATTTCGTTTCGTTTTTGTTTTCGCTCTTTAAACATGCATCAAAAACTTGTTCGTATATAAATTGGAAACTAAATTAGTTTTCACTAAAACTTTTTTTTTTTTGGTATTTTTCTACATATTTAAAAATTTCTTTTTAGCTATTTTCAATTTGAGAATCGAGTTATATATATAGGTTGGTGTATATATAATTATTATACAATTGTTATTTTTTTAACAGAAACATTGCTTTGATATTTCGCAAATATTAGTATTATTTCTGTGTACTTTTCTTTCTTTTTTGGTATTAATTTGGTATTTTGTAAAAGCTAAGTTTTGGTTATGCGTCTTGCAATTTCTTTGATATATATGTATGTATAACGCAATTAACATATATATTTATTATTTATAATTATAGATATTCCATAATATATATTAGTATTGCACAAAAGATTATTCCGATTTCAGTTTTACATATATATGTATACATATTGTTTTTGTGGTTGGACTAAAAAACAGTTTATACAAAAGTTGCTATATAAAAAGTTGTTATAATATATATTAGATTAAGTTTTAAATATTTATAGATTTATAATGCAATTTGCTTTTTCGTATAAAAACTGTTTGAAGATATTATTTCTTTGTGGTATTTTTTCAACACGCCCAGCAAAAGCGAACTTAAAAAACAAATAACTAAGGCAAACAATGTGACATAAAAAAAAAAAAAAACAAGTATTAAATAATTTAATAAACAAAAAATAGTGAATAAACATAATACTGAACACATAATAAACATATGACTTGTTTAATTATAATTAACAATCAATTGTGTGACTTTTATTCAGTTGTTACATTATTAAGTTTGGGATATTTAGCAGCATTATTTATAGGTGTCTGTCGATCTGATCAAAGCGTAAAGGACTTTATGTGTAGGATAGTGTGCGTGTATATAAGCTTGAAATACTCGTCAGCATAATATCTGGATGTCGCAGGGTTTATACGGGGTTAATTATCTATCAGTGTGTCTGCTAACTAGGCTTCAATTAGAAATGGGGAATATGTTACAAAAAAAAGGAAGTGTGAAAAATTTCTGAATTGAAATTACGGAGCAAGGGAAAATCGTAGTGTGTGGAAGAAGTGTATTAAAACCGAGAATTATATCGGAAAATATTTTCAAAAATTTGTATTAAATGGCGTTTCCAGCTGATTTGTTTATTCTATGTTGGGATCAATTTTGATAAAAGTAAGCGTATCCATATTTATATATAACAAAGAATATATTGATATATATATATTCAAATTTGTTTTCTGTGACCTTTCGGCCTGTTTACTCGTACGATTTTCAGATGCAACGTAATTTGCCTAGTTGCAAGGGCTTAACGTAGCGTAAATAAATCTCGAATCTCGAAATTTTTTTTAAAGGAAAATTGCTGGAAATATTTATTATTTTCTTGAGCTTCAGCCGCGAAAATTACTTAATCACCAAGCAATTTTATTTGGGACTCTTCATAATTATATTTTTCTAGTTTGTGTGTGTGTGATAAGAGTGAAAGGGCCAACACTCTTACCACGATTTTGTTGACGTACACTGAGCGGGCGTCCCAGTGATACGTCAACAAATATAACAAAAGGGAAAGGCGATATCTCTAATTAATTACACGAATGTGTAGCAACATTATTATTTTTTAAACATAATAAAATTAATCTTGCCATTTGGCAGTTAAACACGCATGTTTCGGGTAAAACATTGAAATTTTGTTACGTCTCACTAATCGAAAATCAAAATATTTCTATATACAATAGCTAGGAACTTGGGGGTATTTCTTCTGCTTGATGACACACCTCCGTTTCGAAAGAAAGACAGAATCATGGCAATTCATTTCGAGCTCATTCACAGTGTGATTTTCTCTCGTTAGATTGTTTGTTCGATTGTTTGTTATTATTTTTGTATGTATGCAAGGGTTGGTTTGGTAAATGGGCCCTACTCGTAATTCCATATCTATCTTTCTTTCTTTTCGGCAGTGGTCTTGGCAATTCATCATGTTTCACCTAATCAAATTCTTACTAAATATTCCATATATATATTAGAAATATTCTTAATATATATATATATATGAAATAAAAATTAAAATAAATGTAAAAAAAAATAAACAAATACTGTGCTTGCGTTTCGCTTCCTATGCGTGAGAGAAAAACTACTCAAAGATTCCGCGAAAAATAAGGGGCGTTTCTTCTCCTAATTCTTCAACTTAAACTATGCTGTTAGACGAGCGTAGACTCTTCCTTGTCAGCTATTGCGCTGGGCACAAATACCCTTACTGGGTGAGTTGCTGCGCTATTGCACCTGGTTTAACATTAGCCTCGCCTGCGTGTGCTCGATTTTGTCTGTGTGTGAGTGTAGGTGTGTGTGTCTTCATTTGTATATAGTGTATCGCGCGTCAGTGTGTGTGTGTGAGTGTGTGAGTGTGATTGTGTTTCGTGAGCTTGCCTTATATACTAATTACAACTTTCTCCTGCGCTGCGGACGCACTCGTTCGCGTCCCTCGCAGTCAGCTTCCTGGGCTCGATTGATCAGCCGATGCTGACGATCCAGTCGATTCTCTCGCTCCTGTCGCGCCTGTGTATTGTTGATAGTATCTCTGGGCACTGCCAGCGCTGCGTCCAACAACCGATGTCGTTGCTCTCTCTGTTGGCGTCTCTCATCGTGCAGCGCGGCCTACCAGCGCCGCCGTTAACACCAGCGAAAGGGCACCGCACGCGGCCGATCGGCGCCCTCCTTCACCAGCGGCTTGTGGTACTCGCGCCCGGGCCGCGAGTGGATGACGGCCCAGCAGTGCTCGCAGTAGTACTGCAGGCAGGTGACATTCGCGCAGAAGAACGGCGCAAACTTGCCGCCGCAGCGCTGCCCCTCGCACTCGTCGCACATCTGATCGTCCAGCACGTAGGGCTTCACCTCCACCCTCTTGTCGATGTCGCCGTGCTGCAGCTGCACGAAGCGCGCCGAGATGGCTGCGATGTAGCTCTGCTGATTGGAGAAGGCCACGCGGCCGGCGCCCTTCGGGTACTTCAGCTCGGGATCTGTGTCGATTCCCGCATAGCAAACGCCGCCGTACAGGCGATCCATGATCATGGCCAGCTCGAAGGCCTTCAGCGGGCGTGGCACGCCGCCAACGAAGACCGTCTTGCGCGGATCCAGCGACATGGTCGCATCGAGCACATAGTCGGCGTCGGCCAGGCGCCAGGGCCTGATCTGCACCGCCTTGTCCTTGATGGTGGGCGAGGAGACGCACAAGTAGAGCTTGTCCTCGTCCGTGATGCACGAGTCAATCAACTGCTGCACGCTGCTCTCGTCCTGGAACAGCAGAAACGCATAGCCCTTGGGCGGAAAGTACGACTTGGACTCGGCCTTGTGCGGCCAATCCACGACCAGCGGCCCAAACCGGCGAAACGATGTGGTGATCTCGTCCTCATCAATGTCCGGCGGCAGTCCGCCCACAAACACCTTGCGCGAGAAGCGCGCCGTGCACTCCCCGGCGCTCCCTCCGTTGCCGCCCTGGATGGGCGAGTGCGGCGAGTGGGGCGACAGGCGCGACGGCGAGCCCATCTTCAGCGCATTCAAGTAGACCGTCGGATCGTTGCCGGCGGCTATGGCCATGGCGTCCGCCTCGCTCAGATGCTTCGAGACACCGCCGCCGCTGGTCAGGCTGCGCATGCGGTCCGTCATCAGGCCCATGTTCTCGCCGCCGGGGCCGCCCAGCGACATGCCGCGCATATAGTCGCTGAGGCTGTTCTCCATGCCGCCGCTATGATGGAGCTGCCCGTTGGCGTTCATCATGTTGCCATAGCTGTTGCCCAGGTAGGGCGCATCGCCGCCGCCTGTGGCACCTGCCGTGCCCATGCCACCGCCGCCACCGGCTCCACCAGCACCACCATTGCCAATGGACAACGTGGGTATGTTCATGTGGCCGGGACCCGGACCTGGTCCAGCGCCGCCGCCCACGCCATCCATGCCGCCGCCACCACCTCCGCCTCCGCAGCCATAGAGCGCCGTCGGCGAGTTGCCCTTGATGGGAAACGATATGCTGCGCCTGTACTTGGGCGAGACGCCCTGCATGTTCATCTGCGGTATGGGCGAGATGCCGCCGCTGCTGCAGCCCGCCTGAGAGCCGTTATACGGTGAGCCGCCGCCACCACCACCACCGCCTCCGCCAGGCGAGGAGGGACTGTGCGCGCCGCCGCCTCCGTCGCGCTGCTGCTGCTGTTGTTGATGATGATGGTGCAGTGCACTCAGATTGGGCGACAACTGCTGCTGGTGCTGCTGGAGCTGGGGCGGCGGCTTGCTGAGATTCAGATTGGGCGGCAGACCGCTGCAGCTGCGTAAGGAAGGTAACAAGAGAGATGAAGAAGAGGCTTTTTACAATTTTCATATTATATCATATATGTATTTATAAAAAGGAGCAATTTGTTCAAAGATTTGCTTCAAATTATAGAGTTGTTCGGATAGGTAATTTAGATATTTATATATATAGATAGGAGTTTATAATGAAATGAAATTAGTTTGTGTATGAAATATATAATATATATATTCTCATTATTCTATTTAAACATTGCCGCCCAGCGTTGGAAATTATAATTGAAGTAAAAACTGAAGTCTGCATAGGATGATTGATATATTCTCTTTTATGTAATAATATTTGTTACACTGGGCGTGGCGTTATCTTTGGCTAATCCTATATCAAATCTTGAAATTGCTCCTTTCTCTGTTTTCAGTTTTATAAAGCGTTGATTTAAATTAAAGTTGCTGTTGTTGTTGCTGCTTTAACGATGTTTTGTTGTTGTTGTTGGTAATGTTGTTGTTGGTGGTGGATTTGGTGGTAGGTTGTTTGGTGGTGGTGGTGGTGGTGTGAGTGGTGCGTGGTGGTGATTCGTATCTCAATCCAATCATATTTGATTTTATCATATATTTTTTTTATGTATTTTTGTCGACAGTTTTGGCAGCACTGTTGCACTGTGCACACGCTTTAATGTTTTCCAAGCACTTTGACACTGCACGATAACGATAAACGATTAACGATAACATACGCACACACATACAGTTATGTACAAAGTTTCTTAAGATAGCAACGGCCCAGCATAACAAAAAGTGTTGGAAATTAAAGAGAGAGGGAGAGATAAAGAGAGAGAGAGAGAGGCATATATATCGAAGAGAGTAGAGTGGGCGGCAATGGGTTAATAGAAGTAGATATATATATATATATATGTATATCTATATATATTATGTAGAGCTAGTGGTTAAGGCTAAGGCCAATTAGAGATTAGAGATCTGAAACCAGTTCGAATGCTTCGTTTGTTGTTGTTGCTGCTACTCTCGCATCTGCTCGCTAATTGATTTGTAGAAGAGTAGAAGAGGAAGCACAGTGCATGTCAAACTGTATATGGAAAATTTTTTAATTTAAAAACATTTAAAGAGCAGAGTCTCTCCCGTCTAGATTGCCAAGGGCGGAGAGAGCGTGCGTTGGAGTTGGAGGCTGGGCTGTTAATGAGAATGAAGATGCGGATGCTGCCGCTGCTGTTGCTGATGAAGATAATGATGATGAAATGTATAGCATGCTGAAACGTGTACAAGTGTAAATAGATAAAAAAAAAAAACGGAGGGTAGGTAGCTGCTGCTGTTGCTGTCTGTCTGCTTGCCTGCCTGCCTGCTGCCTGGTTGATAAGCAAATCGCTACGCAGGTGTCGCTGTGCCTAATGCCATTTGCCAGTGTTGCAAAATGCAATTATGGAATGCAATTAGCTCTGCAGCGGAGCGAGAGAGGAAATTGAAAAAGGCAGCTAAGCAAAAAAAAAAATTGTTATTAAAGATTCAAATCGGATACACTGGCTGATTGGCAGGCAAATCGAAAAGCTGACGGCAAATCGACTTGCACAAAAATCAATAAATATGTAAGCAGGAAGAGTGGAGTACACGACTAAGAAATACTCTTAAATAAAAGTAGACTAGTATATAGGGATATTTCTTCTGCAGCTATGAATTCTACCTTTAATAGGAGTTTGTAATCGATAAATGCTTCGATTCAAGCACGATTATTATAGTTGATAGGCGGAACTATAAAGGATCTATATGTGATCAATCTGAATTCTTTAGCTCTTACAAACTTTATGACAGAAAGGCCTAGCTCAGTTCGGTTGTTGAACCAGATTCACATAGTTTGTCCCGCCCCCGTCGCCCATTACGTACACGTCATTAAAAAGCATATAACCGGCGCTCGCATTTGTAATGTATTCAGGGTATTGAATGAAAGAGGTATACAAGTTGGCAGCTCACAACTTAAAGCGCAGACATTTTCAATATTTTAAATGTAAAATGTAAATGGCAAAAACCAGACGTGCGTCTGCCCACACACACCCACACCCACACACACACACGCACGCACCTACACCCATTGAAAATGGCAAACAGACGACCAAGACCCAGACGACTGACGACCCGCCACTTAAAACCAGGCAAAGTTCTAGACGTACTCTCGCAACTGTACACAAACGTGTGCCTGAACCACATGCGACATAAACAAAAGCCCAGTTGCCGGCTGGGTGTAGTGCACTTAAAAGAAAAACAAAACAAGAAAAAAAAAAAAACACGAAAAAAAGTCGAGCTGCAGGTGGAGGAGCGGAGCGCATTTAAAGCCGGTAGGCCTTGAATGCATTAAAAATGCATAAGTGCTGCAAACTCTTTACACTAACTTTCGGTCAAAGAACTTGCGCCGTGCAAAACTTCTGCAGCAGCAACAGGCTGTTCTTCGTTTTCTAACACTGTTAACAAAAAAGAAGTTTTGGCTGCGCGTGCTTTATACAAAAATCCATTGAATTCCCCTTGGACACGCACAAGTGCAATGCGGGCAGATAGCGAATGCGAATACGTGTAAGCCTAGGCCAGTTTTTGGCAGTTGATTGCAGCCAACTTAACAGAGCTGCAGCGCAGCCAACTTAATGCTACGTGCGGCCGGATCTTATTGAAGGGCGTTCGGTAATGAAATTTTATGAGCTATCAAAGAGCAGCTGCTGTAAACGAGAAATGCATATGTATGCCCACTCTGTGTGTGTGTGTAGGTGTGGGTGTGTCTCTGTGTGTGTGTGTTTGTATGCAATTTGGCAAATATATGCAAATTGTAGCAACAACAACAAACAACAAAGAGTCGAGTAGAACGTGTACGAGAGAGAGAGGGGCATTTCTTTGATCAAACTGCAAGTTCTGCACGTCAGAGCTACAAGATTTCAGTTGTTTCACTCACCTTTTGCGATTGAAGAAGCCTCCGCCTCCTCCGCCATTGTTGCCTTGTCCTTGGCCTCCTCCGCCACCGCCGCCGCCGCCTTGCAGATAATTGTTGCGCAGATTCACCTCCTCGTTCTGATTGGCATGCATAGAGAAGAAAAGCGGTTTAGGAGGGAGCAACATTTTGCAACAATGAGTCAACAGTGCCAAAATGATTTTGCAATCAAATATCAGCGCTAGAGCTAAGGCAACATCTGTCGACAGTTTTTTCTGTACATTTTTTTCTTCTTTGGCACTCTTGGCACACTTATAAATAGCTGCTCAAGTTATTTCAAACAAAACGATGTGTATGACACGAAAATAAAGCACAGCTGATTCGTGATTCGTGCGCTGCGAGATTCTTGCTAAAAAGTGAAAACTACGAGACACTAATTAAGCAGGCAACGAAATGCTAATTGAACGCCGTCGCCGCGCCACGGCAAACTGGATCTCTAATTCCATTCTTAAATGCGATTAACGCCAGCCGCCAGCCGTGACAAATGAAAGTGAATCACAGAGCGAAGCCGACGCCGACGTCGACGCCAGCCGCTGCTGCAGTCACTGATAAAGCGACAACACAATGTAAACAGTCGGCAAAACAAATAAAACACAAAATGCATTAAATAAATTGAATAAAGTGTTGAAATACTAAACACCACTACTCTGCAGAATATATTATAATATATTGAAAATATATAAAATATTATAAAGATTTACCGGAAATTCCATTAGAATAGTAAAAGAGGTAAGCAGCTGCTGTGAGAAATATCTTTGTCTTGACATGTTTATTATATAGATCAACGGGGGATTTCTCAAATAAAATTCTTTATGAAGGCAGTGAAGCATCGAATGGGCAAGAGATTATCATCATAAAGTTAAACTAATATGCATATAAAATATATATCAAATACTATCCCCTGCAAGTATTCTACGCACAAAGCTCATTTTAATGAAACGAAGCACAAAACTAATATGCCCTAACAAACACACATTATACCCTCTCTTAAAAGCCTATTAAAAACGGTGCCAGTTGTCGATAAAAAGAAAAACAAAAAACTATCGGCAAACATTTGCACATAATTATAATATCGCATACTTACACCAAAGAGTTGCTGCTGCTGCTGCTGATGTAGATGTTGCTGCTGCTGTTGCTGCTGCTGCTGCTGCTGTTGCTGTTGTGAGGGACTGCTGGAGAGCGAATGCGAGTCACAGGGATTCACCAACATGCCAAGGGCAGCGCCCACGCTGCCGTTATTCTTCATGCCCAGCAGAGTGGGCGAGGCATCGCCGCCGCCGCTGATGCCGCCGCTGGGGCTGTGGCTGCTGTGCTGATGCGCCGATGTGTTGTGATGGAACGACTGGAGTATGTCATCGAGCGACTCCTGATTGGCATTGAAGCGCACTGCGATGGGTGTGCTGCTGCTCAGCCCAGGTGGCGTCTTGATTGTGGTCGCAGCTGTGGGCGGCACTGCCGATGTGGGCGTGGTGGCCAGACTGCCAACAACCGATGTGGATGCCGAGCCGGAAAGGTTGCTATTGCTGCCGCTGGCGCTGCTATTGGAGCTGTTGGCTGTGGGAGTCAATGGAACATTAGTTACAACAACACACCATCATCAACCGGGTATATACGTACTTTTGGGTAACTTGAGCGAGTCCATGCTGCTGCTGGTTCGTTGCTTGTCTTTATATGGCTGCACTTGAGGGCTGCGTTTGCCTTAGCCTACATCGAAAGTGGGCCAACGACGAATCGTATCCAAAACATCAATCAGCAATAGAGAGCGAGCGACGAAGAGAGCACAGACGGCACATGAAAGTAAATTGGAAAAGGATAGACATACAATTAGAGCGAGCTAGCTTGGGAGCACGTCACACGATTAGTTTATCATATTTCTCCTCGCAAATGTCAAACGTTGACAGAAAGCCCAGCGCGTAATTGCGTTTAAAAATAACAGAAATAACAAAGAACTGAAACTATTTGACATTACATTTCAGCTGAATTTATTTTCGTTTGGCTCTATTTATAAAAGCTTTAAATATTATCTATTTTGCTTTTGCTGCCGTTTGATGTTGGCAACAAAACTTTAATGGATTATAATATATCATAATTGGCATACAAACTAAAGGGGAAGCACTTTATAGATAAAGATGGAGGAGAGAGAGAGAGGGAGTGAGGGAGCGGCAGTACAGCGTGTGGATTTTTTTATTATCTCTAAAAATTATATTTTAATTCATGGTAAGCATTTCAGTATACGATAAAGTCCAGCGGTTCGAATCGTATAGATTATTTCTATTTAAGACTAAATAAAATACTGCCGATATGTGTTGGATGTTGGGTTTAATGAATTAGTCTGTTTTCTATTCATTCCTATATATATAAATAATTATAATCTCGTTATTAAAGCATTCCCCCCACCAGCCTCTGTCCAAAGTACAATTCACTAATTTGTATTCATTTAATAGCTCCTGTATCTCTCTCAATAACATTTATAGTTTCTAAATAAAAGCCTCCGTTTCACAATTACAAATTACAAAATTTAATGCCCAATTAGTTTCGGACATGGCTTTGTCCATCTGATGCGCTCGCTAATTGCATTTGCTTTGTGACGAACGTGTGTTGCCAATTTTTTTACGTCCATACGAAATTTGGTATCAGTGCACGTTTTATCGGCGAACACAGCGAAATGGTTTGATAAAAGTGCCCATTAAATGAGCCTTTGGCTGTTCAATTCTTGCTGCCAGCCATCATCAATAACAATATTGATATTAACAATAGCAACAATCTATTGATAAAAGCAAAAGCGAATGAGTAATACGAGAGATAAAAGAAGCAAAGACACAAAATATGTGTTTACAGCTGGCCTCATGAGAGGCGAGCAAATAGACTCGTATTACCCATTTACCATACGGTGTCCAAGCTCTCTTGCAAGCTCTGTGCACGCACTTCACTCTGAAATTGGAACTTGTCACCGGAAAGCGCCTATTGTTGTAAAACAAGGCAACCGAACGTGATGGAGAGGGCGAGAGGGAGGGAGTAGCAGGCAGAGGCACGTTTAATTAGTTAAATGCAGAAAGAGAGACAACGGGGCAACGAAATTGTTACGCAAATGAATATGTTCGCTCAGCCATATAGAGTCGTCTCACGGTGTCCCCTCCTCACGCCCCCCACAGAGCTTCGCCCCCTCGTTCGACAATGCAGCGCGCCTACAACTGAAATCTGTAGAGGGCGTACTCAACTATTTAAGTGAATCGTTCGATAGATGTTCGTGGTTCATAGCTTCTCATATTGCTTTATAGTTTTTAGTGCTCTTCGATCTGCATAAGAATGAATGAAAATCGCGGAGGAGAATGGGAAGAAAAATGTTGAAATATTTCATAATGAATATTATTTAAATTAATTGATCGCATTGAAAAGAGCTAAACGTGAACAGTCAAATGTAAATAAGCAGAAAAGGTTATGGAGATTCTTCTTCAGTTTTGTATTATTTCCAAATGGTGAGCTCTACGTGGTCACATATTGCCTATCTGTTTAGCTTTAATATAACCCCCTTTAATACTATATTTAACGAAAGGGTACAAAGAGCATAATCAATACAGAAAATTGTCCTACAAACGAAAAGCGACCCCCCAAAACAAAATAAAAAAAGACGGCAAACAAGTAACTTGAATTACAGCATAACGCAAGAGGCGAAGGCAGAGGCCGAAGTAGCAATAACAATGACAGTAACGCCCCCCATCCTGACACACACACTCACACACATGCTCAGAGTCTCGAGTGTAATATGCCGCCAAAAGCAAAAGCATAGACAGCTTGGCTCACAATCCAAAAGAGAGAGCACAAATGTCTGGGAGAGCGAGTGCTGCAGCTTGCTATGCGTGTGTGTGTGTGTGGGAGTGTGCGTGTGTGTTTGGGCAAACACATTTATCTGCATTTAAGGTGCTTTATGAACAAATACAAGTTGTTTTGTTTTTAGGTATATGAGAGGAATTTAGTATTATCACACGTCTGCAATTAGATTCAGTAACTGGGCCAAATTCTCTTGCGAAGTGTTTTTTTCTCTCTCTTTATACCCTGTGTTTGGGGTTCTGGCCTGAGATTTAGGGGTTATTATGGTCTTTGCTTTGCTCAACTGATTCGTTGCTGCTGGTTCTGCTACTGCTGCGACTGCTGCTCAGCCGCTCGGTTACAAACGTTCGTGCCCCAATTTCAATTGGTTACGCACAACAGAGAAAAAGGCAACCCTGCTCTACGGGGTTGCTTCGTCAACCGCACGAAATTAGGCCAAATGCTGCGCACAGATATGTAGTTAAGCATATACATATAGATAAATATATATATATATATATATATATATATATATATATGTAGTGACATTTTGACAGGTGCAAACATTAAATTGAAAATTCAATTTTTTTGTTTTATGAATTTCCTTCCACTAACCTTTTGTACTTAAGAGAATTTCGGTTTGGCCTCGTTCGGCAGTTGGTGCAACGACGCACGAGAGAACACGAAGGCGACCCACGAAGTCACGAACACAAACTTTCAGGTGCAAGTTTTTCTTATGCCTTCGTGCCTGTGTGCGAGCGAGTGTGTGTGCGTATGCGTTACATTTCCGGGGGTGCAGGCAGGCAGCAGGCCGTCTCACTCACACTCTCGCACAATTCTGTGACGTAGATCGCACTATGTATTTTGTCGTTTTCGTTTCGTTTTTTTTTTTTTTGTTTTCTGCAATGGCAAAAATTCCTTTGCTGCAGCACAGAATTTTGTTCTCCTTTTATGTAAACGATGCGAGTGCTTGAAGCTTGATTTGCGTTATTTCGTTTTTGTTTTATTAATTTATTTTGATTTCAAAAAGACAACGCGTTTATTTCTTCACTTAATGCACAATTATTTTTTTCTTTTTTTTTTGACAACAAATTATTCACACACACGAACACCACAAACGGAGCGAAGCACACGATTTTTCATAGCGTAGAACAAAAAAATTTAAAATGCACTAGAAATTTTGAAAAACATTTTTTTTTACACTAGAATTTTATCCATAAATTGCCAATTGTAAAACTTATTTAATATTTTTATTTTTTTCACTTTAAAATTTGGAGAAAAAATAACTCCCGTCCGCTCGCTAGCGAGACGATTGTGAGACTGAATTCTAAAAATGCTCGCTGCTACTGCTTAGCTTTTCACAAGCTTGTTTTGTCGTTGCTGTCGTCGCCTACTTTTCCCCGACGCACGACGAAAAATCAATCATTCTTCCCTGTTTTGCTTTCGTACGGTGTTTCGTGCTTTTCTGACAGCCCACCAGTAACAACAACAACAATAACAGCAGCAGTAGCAGCTGCTCGGACTGCAGCGTTGCCGTTGTGCATCTATGCCGATATAAGTATATATATGTATATTTATCGATAGTTTGAACAATTACAATTCAAACAAGGAAATGCAAAATGAAAAATGTAATATGCCCAATCTTTGATGCATTACATAAATATTTATGACACATATATTATTTTTTGCCAATCATAAGAACAGCCATCTGGCAACACCGCGAGCAGAGTATGCAATGGCAACGGCAGAATAAAAGGAATACAAACGAATTACATAAAAGAGCTACTTACAATAACAACGCCAACAATGTTCCTGCTGCTGTCCCACAATTGTGTTAGGTATGCAACGAACAAAACTGCACAAACATCAGCTGCTGGTTTACGGGGCTTGCCTTCTGGTGTGCACACGCGCGCGCGATATTAATTTTAGATGTTTTTTGTTTTTAAATAGGTATTTCACTTGTGTGTATTGTAATGTGTTTACAAAATATATGTATGTGCACCCTTCTGGTTTTTGTTACCCTAGTAGAAAAAGTTGTGTCAGGGTTAATTTTTTTCTCACTTATTTATGTACATTGCTTTTTATTATTTTTTTTTTTATTTTTTTGTGTAAATTTTTATACAAGTTTCCCTAGACAACTACGATGGCTGCTCAGACAAGCAGACGACCTGCAACTAAACAATCTATGACAAGCTTTTCACAGCTGTTTCGTCGCCTGCTTCGATCATTTTAAATCGATGTGGCCACACTGGTATCGTACCAGACTATCGAGTCAGCAAGCGAGCCATAGAGGTCGCGCGCACTTGACCATTTAAAACTTTTGATAAATAGTACGATTTATTTAAATACAGTATATTATTATTTAGAAATTGATTGGTTGCATATAATTTCATCTTTTGACTACAATCAGTTAGTTCGCCGCTGTCAGACCGGTTTATGTTGTCATTTTAAATAGACAACTTCATTGTGTATATACCCAGAACGAATACCGGTTTTCTGATAAGCGGCTCTATTTATATATAAGACTGCTCCCATCAATGCGCATTTGTGATTCTTAGAGCGGAGATGACACACGGCCTACACTGCGGGGTTTTCCTGCTATTTTTAGCATTGGTTAGCGGCTACACAGTGCCAAAAGCCAAAATCGAAGTGTTTTATCCCAAAGGCTTTGAGGTGTCCATTCCCCACGAAGAAGGGATAACGTTGTTCGCTTTCCATGGCAAGCTGAACGAGGAGATGGAGGGTCTGGAGGCCGGCACCTGGGCTCGTGACATTGTCAAGATGAAAAACGGACGTTGGACTTTCCGAGATCGCCAAGCTGAGCTGAAACCAGGCGATGTTCTATACTATTGGACCTACGTTATCTACAATGGCCTGGGTTATCGCGAAGACGACGGCGCCTATGCGGTCAGCGGTTACAATGGCAGCAAACCCGTTTCACCTACTCCAGCAATCCGTGTGCCTAGTCCGGACTTTACTTTCCCAAATCCAGATATCGACGTCAGAATTGGCACCTGTGAGCCGCCCAAGACTCAAGCCAATGGCGCACCGGTTCGTTGTATGAATCAGCAAATCTTCGCGGATGACTTCAATGGCGGCAAGCTGGATGCATCCAAGTGGAAGCTGGAGCACCGTTTCTCTGGTGCTCCAGACTACGAATTCAACATTTATGTGAATGACGCACCTCAGACGCTGAGCCTACAAAATGGACATGTGCAGATTCAGCCCGTCGCCACGAAGCGTTTCTTCAAGCGGAAATTGGGAGAGATGCTAGACCTGGGCGGGGAATGCACGGGCGAGAAGAGCTCCGCAGATTGTGTGCGAGATCCAAGTAGGAGGCGTGACAAGCTGCCTCCGCTGGTGAGTGCACAATTCTCCACCAAGGAGAGCTTCTCCTTCAAGTACGGACGAGTTGAGGTGAGAGCTAAGATGCCCAAATCGAAGTATTTGGTGCCTCAGCTATGGCTGCAGCCCAAATACAATGTCTATGGAAAGGACGACTATCAGTCGGGCCAGGTGCGCATCGGCTATGCGCGTCAGGTGCCCGGCGGGCAACTGGATCTCTATGCTGGCGTCCTGCTCAATTCCAAGGAGCCGTTGCGTTCGGCCAAACTATGCCATAAGCTGGGCACTGGCGCCAGCAGCGAGGATTGGAGCGATAACTTCCACAATTATACGCTGGAGTGGACGCCACGGCAACTGAAGTGGTTCGTGGATGGACGAGAGATATGTTCCCACGGCAGTGATTCGGGCGCGTTTAGTAGCACCACTGCGAACGACCAAAGGCTTCCGAATGCGGATGAGTTGGAGAAGGGCACAGGAATTGCGCCATTCGATCAGGAATTCTATTTGACGTTTGGCCTTGGCGTAGCGGGCTTCAATGAGTTCTTCTACGACAAAGAGAAGCCTTGGCGTGACCAGGACACCATTGCCATGACACAATTTCTGAATAGTATCAAAGATCGACTGGATCAGTGGTGTGATGACGCTGAGCTGAAAATAGATTACGTCAAGATATTTTCTGTATAACTTTTTATAATTTTTATGGAGTCTATTCTTATTGAAATTAAAACTCATCTTCTGAATTATTGTTAAAATTAATATTTTTTAAAGTTGATTATTAAAAAGCTTTACCTTTTTAAAAACATTTTTAATTTATTTGTATTTTTCTCTTTTTTTTTCTTCAATAAATAAAAAAAAGTAATAATTTTTAAATAAAGTTCGATAGCTCGATAAAAAACTACGGCCACACTGAGCGAGCGCATTGCGCACATCGATAGCTGTGTCACGAACAGCTGTGCATTGGCTGAACGTGTTTTTGGTAAACTCACACCACTAGTGCTCACATAACCCTCTGCGGCTTTTGCCTATTAGAAAAAACACAAGTAAATATAATACTATTGCTTAAACTTGATTTTTTAAATTAAAACACGAATTTGCTTTACAGCTGTATACAAAATGCAAGTCACACGTCTTTTACTGCGTCAAGTTAGACGTCAAATCATTGTGCAACGCCAATACAGCGCCGCTGCTCCTGCTGCTGCTGCCGCACCTGAGAAACTCGTGCCTCCAGTACCGGAAGGTGTAGCCAAACCACCGAATCCAAAACTAGATAGCATTGTCAACAACATAGCTGCCTTGAATCTGCTCGAGGTGGCTGAGCTTAGCACATTGCTGAAACAAAAGCTAAATCTGCCAGAGACCGCATTTGCGCCACAGTTTGCGGCGGCTGGGCCAGCGCGTAGTGCGGCTGCCGAAGATGAGGAGGAGGCGGCGCCCAAAAAAGTACAAACAGCCTTCAAGGTGAAGATGATCAAGTTCGATGAGAAGCAGAAGGTGGCGCTAATCAAAGAAGTCAAGAATCTGCTCGAGGGCATGAACCTTGTGCAGGCCAAGAAGTTTGTTGAGAGTGCGCCGACCATTGTAAAAGAGGACGTTACCAAAGAAGAGGCTGAGAAGCTGAAGGAGGCGCTTGCGAAGGCTGGAGCAGTTATTGAAATTGAATAAGCTAAAACTAGTTATTTGTTGTAATAAAAAACCCATACAGCGTCAACATGCTGTCAACTAAAATGAAAAACGTGACACGCACACATGCTTACCCACAGAAAGAACTGTTATTTGTAGCAACTTTGTTGCAACTTTCTAGTAAACAATTCCCCAAGCACTTTTACCTTTCTGAATGAGTTTAAGCTTTAATTAGTGGCGGCATATGTACTAACTGGTCGTAATTAGTACAACTTCGCTAATTAAAGTCGTGCGCTATGTCCACCACTAGCCGATGAATGCAATTTCGGCAGCGTTGCCACTGCCAGCCGAATCAGTACCGTTACATCATTTTGTAATAGCGCCGCTTAGTTGGAAATGAGAGTGCTAACTAATATAAGTAAAATTCAAATTGAGCGATTAAGGCAGATCGAGCGAGTCACACTGTTTACTCGAATTCAAACGAAAGCAAGCACGGGGCACTTTCTACGCTACCCGGGAGCCATCATGCGACGATCGTTCACGCGTGTTCTCAAATTAAGTGCGTATGTCTCGGTTCGCCAGTGGATTGTATAGCTGGTAAATCACTTTCATCGACCCGTTCATTTGTTTGCTGTCATTTATAAATGGTATACATATATGTATTTTTTTCTTTTTTACAGAATGCTCCAAATATTTGCAGCCGCCGAAATAAACTCCACACGACTTTGCCGCCATGGAAAAACTCTGCTTTGAGAGGCTGGAGCAAAGCGTCGCGGTCTATCAATTAGCACCTGTCTCGTTCAGCACCTGCGTCTCCAGCATATGCGCCCCATTGTGGCATAGTAAGCTCCTCAATTGCGGCCTGCGTCAGTCTCAGTCTCAATCGAAACATAGACGCGTACAATACGTTCTCTCTCCCGTCTTTGGGGTAACTGTAAAAACCGAAAGTGGAAGTGCAGAGCAAATATATATATATGAACACATATACATATATATTTGTAGCTATTTATATATTTGTTTAGTTATATAGTTAACCATGTCCGCTCGCACACATTCCACGCGCATCTTGGCCATCGTCGCCCTCTTCTTCAGCAGTTACATCGTGGGCATTTACAGCGCGGCGCGGGCCAGCCTTCAGCTAACTCCTCTGAATGCGACTCGCAGCGAGAACAGCTCTTTGGATGCACTGGACGCGACGCTGTCTTCAGAGAGGAGCTTGGCGCACAGCAGCTCGAGAAATCCTCGCTGTAAGTGAAAAGTAAAAACCTATTTTTTGTGTTCTCCTTCTCCGTCTCGTTCTTGTTGTTGTTGAGTGATTTCGATCAAAATATATGTATGTGGGTCAGTTCTTAATTATCACCCAGTGCGCATTTCCGTGCTGAGCTCTTTAGTCTTAGGCACGCATTGTCACCGCCTGACCGAGCAGCGATTTACGCTTGATACTGGATTTATGGACAACTTTCTTACAATGCCAAAAAAAAGTAGATCAGAGCTGGGAAGAATCTAAAATTTTTAAGGAGAGTCCAAAGATTATAATAGTAATTATAACTTCCATTGAATTTGTTTCAATCTGAAGATTAAAGTGATAGAATGGTCTTATTTATAATTATAATATAGCTAGAGTTATGCCTGTAGATTCATACCTTCTAAGCCATTAGTCGCTAATTGATTCTTAATTAGAACTTTCTTAGGATCATCTGTACTACATCCTATTTGTAAATGCAATATATGTATTTATATAATATATCGTATTTAAATATTGCAATATAAGCTTATATACGTATAAATTCACGTTTTCCCATTATTCGACAGGGTTTCCCTTCTACACAATTGGACGCTTCTCCAATGACATTTGCTTGGGCAACAACCTGCTCATGGGCACCTGCATGATAAACGGCGAGTGCAAGGACAACAATGGCGTCGCAGCGGGCAGTTGCTCCACAATAACCAATCAGGCCGTGTGCTGCATATGTAAGCCCATCCGAATACAGTCACAATCAATGCCTAATTCGGTCTTCTCCTCCATTAGATCAACGCACTTGTGGCGCCAGCACCAGCTTCAATAACACCTACTTCTACAACAGCAACTATCCGGCACCCTATGCCGGCGGCGGTCGTTGCACCATTGTTGTGACTCCGCCGGACTCGACCATTTGCCAGCTGCGCATCGATTTCATGTCCTTGTCGCTGGCGCCACCAACTGGCGACGGCTTGTGCACGACAGACGCGTTAACCATTTCGGGCGGTGCCTCGCAAGTGCCCACGATTTGTGGCGAGAACTCCGGTCAGCATGTCTATGTGGACTTCAATGGCGTCAGCCCCATAACCATTTCGGTGGCCACCTCGTCCGGTTACACGTTCAATCGCAATTGGCAGTTCCAGCTGCGCATGATGGGCTGCACCTCGTCCACGTTGGCGCCCGCTGGCTGCCTGCAGTATCACATGCCCTCCTCTGGCAATATTGCCAGCTTCAACTACGTGTCGGCTGCCTCTTCGGCGCTGAACTCCATCGGAGTGCAGGGCACGAGGCAGCTGGCGGGCCTGCGCTACGGCATCTGCATACGGAAGGCCACCGGCGTCTGCTCCATCACGTACAGACAGGTGGGCTCCGATGCGTACTCCTTCACGATGACCAACGATGTGGGCGCCGTGGATCCCACGCTGCTGGCCACGTCAGCGGTGCAGAGCCAGGACTGCACCACAGACTATATCATCATACCAGCGCCGACGCAAGGTGGCACCACTTTGCCCAGCGACCGGTTCTGCGGCTTGGGCTTGGTGCCCACGACATCGGATGCGAAACCTTTTGTTGTGTACGCTGTGACGGACTCCAACGAGGAGTTGGACATATCGAATCGGGGCTTCTACTTGTCCTACTCACAGAACCCCTGCCCCGTGCTGTAGTCGTAAATGCTTGTCAACTACAATGAAAGACTCTGAGAACAATAAGCAATAAATAGGCAATACATTAACTTATATAACAGATATTAGTTTTATCGCATAGTTCTAGCTAACAATAGTGTAGAGTAAGGCAATGCTATAACTGTACATAATTTATCTAACACGATTGAGTATGACTAGATGGAAGTGGGACTACGCCGCCAGACGTATCAGGTTGTCTATCTCCGCCTGCAGCTCTTTGATCTGTGGAGAGATAGCAATTAGCCAAAGATACAGATATAACAATAGTAGCGATCCGGAGACTCACCCGATTATTAAAATGCGTCTTGGTAGCCGAGTCTGCCATAAGCTGGAACGCCTCATTGTCGACGCGCACCTTGTACTTTTGCAGCTCGTTGACCAGCTTCTTCAGCTTCTTCTTGTTCGTCTTTATTATCTCTTCGCGCTGCTCTTTTGGTATTGGGAAGTCCTCCTTTATGGTGATGCCAAAGGAGCAGAGTGCACCGGCAGTTGAAAAGAAGTTCAGTTTCTTGGAGAACTTCGAGTCCTCATTGAGCAGCTCCAGCTCCACGCAGCCGCAGCGCGTGAGCACGCCAATCTGTGCCAGATGCCGACGCAGTATCGTTTCTGCTTCCTCATTCTGGGCAAATAGAGACAGCTTTGGGGAATGACGATTGCTGATCTGATTGCGACTCTTCATCTGGCGCACATTGGTGCAAACGCTGACGATGTCAGCGACCTCCGCCTGCAGTTTGGGATCTTGATACTCGGATAGCTTGAGTTCGATGTTCAGTGGGACATGCTGCAGCAGCTCAGAGGCAACGAAGGGCGTGAAGGGCGCCAGGGCCTGCAAGCCCCAGCTGAGGCAGGCGGTCAATGTGCCCACGTGCACGTACGCATCGTGGGTGCGGTTCCTGATCGCTGTCTTGGTGGTTTCCTAAGGGCAAGATTTCCAGATTTAGATCAAAACACAATAAGAGGTAAGAGAAAACTTTACCAAATACACATCACACAGATTCTGATAGAAGAAATGCTTTAGCGCTGATGTGGCCATGTGGAAATTGTAGTTGGTGGAGCTCTCCGAGCATATGGCCAGCGTCTCAGCCAATCTGCCAATGATCCAACGGTCCCACATGCTCAGCTGCACGCCCTCCATCGTCTCGAATTCGTCTAGGGTAATGCCCAGAGACTGAGCGGAGCCCAGTGTGAAGCGCATCGCTTGCCAGATCTTGTTGAGGAACAGTTTGTTGGTGTAGCAGGCGGTCACATCGAAGTTAATGAAGTGGTGCTTGATGTTGTGGCTCAGCAGCGTGAAGCGTAGAGCATCGGTGCCGCACTCCCGAATGCCGTTCGGGAACATCTTGACGAGGCCCTCTGTGGAGGTTCGCAGCTCTTCAGGCTTGATTACGCCCGCATCGCTCGATTGCTGCAGTGTGGCTTTCAGGCTCTCCAGGCTGGCGCCCTGCACCACTTGCTGTGGCGTGACGATGTTGCCCAAGCTCTTGGACATCTTGCGACCCTGAGCATCGCACACGATGCCATTGAGCAGAATGCGCTGAAAGGGCGCCTTCCCCGTCAGCTTCAGTCCCATCATCATCATGCGAGCGACCCAGAAGAAGAGTATATCATGCCCCGTCTGCATCAGATCGAGTGGATATTTCTCCTTGTAGCTCTCATTGGGCCAACCAGCCACGGAGAAGGGCAACAGCGACGAGGAGAACCAGGTATCCAGCACATCCACGTCCCGAGTCAGCCTCACCTCTTTCGTGCCCAATTTGCTGATTGCCTTCTCGCGCGCCGTCTTCTCGTCGGTGGCCGCCACCCAGCAGCTGTTGCCCCTGGAGTCGAAGGCCTCGTAGGCGGGCACCTGGTGACCCCACCACAGCTGGCGAGAGATGCACCAATCCCGCGAGTCAGTCAGCCATCTCTCCCAGTCCGTCTCGAATGTTGAGGGCATTATTTGCAGTCTTCCGCTCTTCAGCTCCGACAAGGCGGCCTCGCACATGGACTTGGTCTTGAGGAACCACTGCGGCACCGTCATATACTCAATGACATCCTTCGAGCGGGAGCATATCGGCAATTGCATACTATGCGCGCGCACCTCGCGCAGCAGCTCCATCTGTTCCAAACGCTCCACGATAAGATCGCGTGCCTCGAAGCGGGGCTTTCCCTGGAACTCTGGATATGCTTCATCGATCTCGCCGCTTTCGGTGAAGACGCGACGGCCCGTCAGCTTGTGGCGCGTGGCCATCTCGAAATCGAATTTGTCGTGGGCTGGCGTTAGCTTCACAGCGCCGCTGCCAAACTCCATATCTACTGCGATGTCAAAGATTAGGGGAATCGTGTCGTCTCTGAAAGGATGCTGAAGCAGTACTTCCTTCCGGTTGCGGTATTTGATATAACGCGGATCAGCTGGGTGCACGGCAACCGCCACATCTCCCAATATGGTTTCCGGCCTGGTGGTGGACACCACAATCTCCTCGGGCTGGCCATCATTGTCAAGCTGGCCATCGACAACTCGATAGGCAACGTCAAAGATGCGACCGAAGAGCACATTCTGCTCATAGCCTGGCACGGCTACCTCGACGGGCTCCTTAATCTCCAGCGTTTCCACTTCGATGTCGGAGATGGCCGAGCGCAGGGCGCACGACCAGTTAACGAGCGAATTGCGCCGTTTGATCAGACCCTCCTCGAAGAGTCGTATGAAGGCTGCGCTGACGGCATTGGCCTGTTGTTCGTCCATGGTGAAGTACTCGTGCTGCCAGTCGAGTGAGCAGCCCAGTTGACGCAAGTCCTGCACAATTCCAGCGCCCTTCTCTGCCTTCCATTTCCAGACCTCGTCTAGGAAGGCCTTTCGTCCAATTTCCTGTCGCGTTTTGCCTTTCGTTGCGGCCAAGGTGCGCTCCACGACCACCTGTGTGGCAATGCCCGCGTGGTCCGTTCCCGGTACCCACTGCACGTCGTAGCCTAGCTGCCTCTGTTGCCTGGCTATCACGTCCTGCACAGTCGCCATCAGCGCGTGGCCCAAATGCAAGTTTCCGGTTACATTTGGCGGTGGCAGGATCATGCGATAGGGCCCACGTTTGCATCCACTGCTCAACTCCTTCGTGGGCTCTTTTTCACGCTCCCAATATGCCTCCTCCACGGGCTTTGGCTGATAGCCCGCAGCCAAGGGCAGCTTGGGGCCTGAGTGCAAATTTTTCCATTAGCCGGCATTTTGTTGAAAGAAAATCACGATCCACTCACCTCTGGCTGCGCTGCAGTAGAGCCTGGCAGTGACATTTAGCAATTTTGGATGACATAAGTGTTTGTGTTTGACTAAATTGCGGGTAACTACTTTAATAATTTGCATTATTTCAATTCCGATGCGTTGAGGAGCCTCAACAGTTGTTGTTATGTCAACTGGCAAGGGGCAGTGTGTGCACAACTTTTGAGGGTTCAAAATACAAATACGAATACAAAACAGCTGATTTCTAGAGCTGAGAGCGATAGTTTTGCCTGGCTATCGATAAGAAATTCAAACAGTTGGGCGCCTAGATTGAATTGAATCGAATTGAATTGAATATGCTGACAGTTATTTGGCTCTTTATTGATGTTAACTGCATTTCGTATATTTCTGCGAATAAAAGCGACCAAAGAGAAACAGAAATGACAGCATGTAGGCCACTCCCGTATAACTGAGCCACGGCTGGTATTCACATCTGCTCACAATGGCCTGAGCACCCCAGGCCAAACCCAATGCGAATTGCAGCAGCTGCAGTGCCGTCAAGTAACGTTTCCACCATAGATACGGGTATAAACGAGGTCCCAGAGCGCTCAGTGAGTAATATCCGTACATAACGATGTGCACAAAGGAGTTCATCAAAGCCGGCACGAAGGCTGCAAAGGGACAAGCGCTCTAGCAGTAGCAGAAGCGAAGGCTTAAAGGTTTGTGAATGGGTAAACCTACTTGAGCCAGTGGGTATCCATTTGATTACTATCCAGCATATGACAAACATGCTGCTGTGGTGATAGACATGCAGAAAAGTCAACTGGGACCATTTTTTGCGCAATATAAAGAAGAAAGTATCCGCAAATTCCAAGATCTTCGATATGTAGAACCACCAAAAGGCAGACGCCAGCTATGGAATGCAGTTCAATAAATAAATGTGCTTTTATTTCTCATTTCGACTTAAAGTTTCTCAACGACTTACGCGAATTTCAAGCGGATCATAGCTCACTTTACAAGGCTGACACTGTAAGCTATAGTCGAGGGCTCGCGACGTCGTGTAAAGCTGCAGGCAAATATATCCATTCAGCAAGGCCATGAACAAGTTGTAGCCGAACAATGGAAGGCGCAACTGAAATGCCTGTCGACTGCAACCGGAGAGGGAAGCAAGCGTGGGATTGAAAGAGAATATGATGGCATTTGACGGCACACGGGCACACCTACACCCACCCGCCCACACACCCACCTGGCCATCCATTTGGGCGCAAAGTGCAGCAGCAGCAAGTACAAGGCCAGCAGCAAGGCGGCATTCCAAGGCGAGGCCACCAATGGCCAAGATTGTGTGCGCTCATCCGCCAGCTCGGCGAACGGATAGCTGTCCAGCAAGGCAATGGATGATGACATGACCTGTCGACACACAGGAATACCGAAACGTAACTAACTTCAATTGCTGCCGCGCCGCTGACTTTTTATAATGTTCAGCAGAGCAGCGATGCGTATATATGTATGTATGGATATAAATATAGATATAGATATATGTACTTAAATTTTCATATTCATATATTATATTATGTTTTCTTTATTTAGAAACCATTTGACCCCTAGAACGAATCAAGCATGACTGAGGCTGAGTTGGGGTCAAAGCTAGCTGAAGCAGTAACTCTTATACAGTATAAGACTGTATGGCAATGATGTGTGTATATGAGATTACAATGTATCTGTAAACTCTCTTCAATCATCTATTCAATTTGATAAACTTGACATTTGGCTGGCTTCCATATGAAGAGCCAAATGTAGAATGAATAGTAAATATACATATATACATTTGTATACTCTAAACTACTTTTGGCTGAAAGGTTAATGGACTTCATGGAAAAGTATGTAAAGAAGTAAAGAAGATGAAGTAAACTTAAAATGAATAAATGCATTTAATTCTGATTATGAAGACGAACTTACTACAATACAATATATATTTTATATATTAAATATCTCTGTCAGCATTACAGGGTATTCGCTAGTCGATCACTCCTACTCTTAAGCCATATATAATTTCTATTTGCTTTATCGTAAAAGTGCAGTTGGCGTAACAGATGAATAAGTCAAACGTGAGCGGAAAATTAAAAAGCCAAAATGTTAAATAAACATTTGTCGATGCAACACCAATGCAGACTTGGCTGCCTGCGAGTCCAGGTACTTCGATTTTAGCCAAACATTTATGTTACCTGTGCAGCTGAGCTGCTGCTGGGGGCTTGTAAAGTTATCAATGTGTGCGACTTGGCAATGCACAATGCTTGCCACAAATAGTGAATGCATTCTGCTCAGCGTTCCTTCGGCTGCCAGCCAAAATACTGAGGGAACTGTGCAGCCGGGCGTAACTGATGGCGTAATACTCGTCTAAGAGGTCTTTTATGAATGATAGCCAAATGAGATATATGTATATATGGGAAGTATATCAAAGGGATGATGATCACTTATTATGTTATTTTATATTATATAATATTAAAATATATTATTATCTTTTATTATATTATATGTATTTTTACAGCAATCAGTAGAGCAGATCATCAGCATTTACTATTGCTTTAAAGTCTCATATGTTTATGCTTATGTTCCTCAGACTTTACTACGCCTCCAGTGAGCATACTTATACTCACTCAAATCATGCCCATTTTATCATACCTACATATCTCAAGCTATAGTAGCTGAGTACAAATACGCCCGCTTTACACTCTCCGAGCGAGTGCATTCTAAAGAAATGAAAAAAAAAGTCTTAATGCTCTGCCCAGCTGTTGTACTTTTAGCAGCCCTTTGGCCCTCTTTACTTATTCTGACTTTGGCTCCATTTTCTATTATTGTTTTCTTTATTTGTATTGCTGTACGTGTCTCAGCACCTAGGGCACTTTGTGACCTACTCAAACTCCCTGCATAACCTAGCTCAGTCTCTTTATCTCTCTCTCTCTCTCTCTCTCTCTCTCTCTCTCTCTCTCTCTCTCTCTCT